ACTTCAAATATCAATAATCTATTAAACGAGCTGTAAATGTTACCTTGCCCATGAGAATATGCTCCAATTTCTTAACAAACCTTAACTAAACAGATACATAACTAACATATTGAGTGAAACAAAGGTAGAATGAAAATGTAGACACTGGAAGGTGGGTGGTAATTTATCTGTACACTGCCTTCAGGAAAGCATAACTTGATAAATCAGGTGAGATAATTTGATTCTCTCAGGAGACAGGAGTGTCATATTCTTTATAGGAAATTATATGTCAATGTCAAATTCACCACATATGTCACACAATCCTTCTAAATGATACAATGCCATTGAATAATTGGACAGAATTATTTATTTTTGGTATCCAAGAAGAGCAACTGAGATGACATCAATCTGACAAGCCAAGTCAGTCGTATATAAATAACCTGGTCATTTATTGTTCCTCTTTCTCTATAAACTTTGGAAAGTGCTTACTTCAGAAGTAAGAAGGTAAAACAGACTTAGCACATTTCTACATTAGGGGGATTCTGTGTACATTTTGATAAGATATTAATTAGGTTTCCTTATTATTGCATTGTTCAGTGAAGCTATGTGATTTTACCCTCTGCTGCCAGTTATGATAAATGTTCAAACTGCAATTGATTTGAACTGATTTAAAAATGAAAAGCTATAAACCATAGTTTACATGGTGACATGTTTTAAAAATTACTTACAGTTAATTCCACATTTGAATTCACATACTAATAGCATTTTCCCCACATGCTCATTAAGTGACTTCAAAGGTTCACATTTATCTGAAGATTTACATTTAAATGGCACCCAGCAGACGGACAGGAATGTACTAGGTGTTCATTTTTTTTAAAAGCCAAAATAATAGCTTTACAGTCACGGTTCAATGACAGCAACATGTCACGTCTCCTGTTGCTAACTGTTTGCTGCATTTAATTGTGGCCAACAACAACAAAAATTGAAGTACTGATTGATTATGGAAAAATAAGACTGTGAACGATGGTACCACTTACACTTCAGTACTCAAGACATCCTTTGACTAATCAGCGAGCATTTCTAGATACCCATTACCTCCAGCCTCTCTACAGGGTGACCAAAAAGTCATGGTATCTACCCTATTATCTAAAAGAATATATATATATAATGTAGATATATATATATATATCATTATATCTTGAAGACTGATTAGACATTGTAATGGTATCAGGACTTTTTGGTCATCCTGTAGTTTGTTCAACACTGTGCTTAATTATCTGAAGGCCAGTTGCTGTCCTGCAGAGAGGGGGTGCTGAAAAGTCCCATTCTTGCTTGACTCGGACTTAAAACTGCTGTAATAACAAATCCCTGGGGGGTATCAGGAGTCGCTGCATTGAATAATCACAAGCTGTGTGGCTGACTGCTTGCAGTTGCAGTGCAGCCCGATTGCTCGTGACATCACGTATCAAACACTGGGAACAAATCGCACTCCAAGCTTTCTCCATCTGTCAGTCTGTCTCTGCAGATTTCTACTGGTTAAAGCAGCAACCTCTCCTCTTACTCAGAAGCCTGTGTCTGCTGAGGGGGAAAGGCAGCTATGAACCTTCTCTACGCGTGCTACTCTCTACTCCTGGTTCCTGCTCTGGCTGTCAGCACAAGGTGGGTAAGATATCATCGTTCTCTTATTTCTCACTCTAAAAACAGCATTAATAAGTGACTACTCTGAATATATATATAGATATATTTGCACTGAATGTTTTTTTTGTTGGGGATTCCCAGGGACAAAGCTCTGAGAGACAGATCAATCAATGCTGGTGTTATTTATGGTCTGAGACAATATTTAAATGCAGTATATCTGTGATTTGCTTTGCTTTGCTGCAACTGGTGAGACTTCCACATTTGCAATCGGTTGTCTTATTGATCACCAACTTAGTTTCAACCCATCCTGGCTGTTTCAATGTGAGGATTCGCTTTAACTGCAGGTCTGTTCCTGGATGGATACTGGTACTTAACGATGAAAAGTGTGCATGCAATGCATACTCACCGGTCCAAACAAAGCAGGCTCAACACATGGTAACCTATTTTCCCCCCTGTGCTGCACCAAACAGATCTGTTTGCAGGTGTAAGTGACTTCCAAGTTCCTTAACTTGAGATGTTCGGGTGTGAATGTGATGCTCCTGTCAAACTGTCCTACATGTGTAGCAAAATCTTTGTGCGATACCTTAGACAGTGTTCCAATTAATTAGGAATTATCAGTAGATGAATGTCTGGCTCTGGCCAATTGGGCTCCACACAGTCGATTAGATGATGTTATTGCGTCGAGACAGGTCTTTGATGAATCGGTTCTTGGTGGCTTGACTTCACAGACTGTCGATGGAGCAGCTGGGTGGTATGTGCAGATGGGTCAGTCATCTTTTGTTAGAATTCTCTCTCTCTTTTTAACCTGAAAGTGCAAATCACTCCAATGAAGGAATAATTGATTAAAGTCACTTTGTTTGGAAGCAGAACTCCAAAAGGAAATCAGTGTGCCATGTGTCATCAATCATCAAGCTCCATGGACCTAAAGTGCTGTATTCATTTTCTTCTGTGTTACATGCAAAAATAATTGCTGCTGTTTTTGTAAGTGACACTTTAGGGGAACGGAAATAAGTAAAGTGAGATAAGTAAAGCTCTTTCTCTCTCTCTCTCTCCTCTCCGCACGATTCCGGTTTCTTATTTGCGTCAAAAAAAGAGGTCTGTGCAATAGTTGTTAGTTTTTAGCCTCTTGAGTGCTGGACTGAGGGCGAATCGTAGTTCCTGGAAAGTGGATCAGTTTTCAGCAGAGCATTCGCCCAATGTGATGCACCAGTAAATTAGCCAGGAGGGACAAGTTCTGAACGCATAGCACAGATCCCTGTATCTTGCCCCCTCTGGAACAAAGACTCTCTTTCTTGTTTCATTTTTGTTTTGGTGGTGGGGGGGGCGGGGAGTGGACCTGCTGGACGTGGAAGAACAGAAAAGGTAACCGTTGCTGATTGATTCTGCTACTTACATTATCCTTAACGGATGCCCAGCAGTGACCCAGAGTGCAAGGCAAGAGAAAGAGATAAACTGTTATCAGCATGTTCTTGGTCCAATAGCTTGTTCTAAACGTGTGGTTCTCAATGTGTGATTGATTGTTGTAATCGCCACTGTGCTGAAATCTTCTAATTCAGCAACCCTAGGAAGCACGAGATAAGGTTATTTTGCTTCTGTATTATTTTGGTAATCAAAGGGACACAATATAATTTAGACTGCAATAAAGCCTTTCACGTCGGGAGTGCCTTAACAAAGCTACATTTCGCCCACAAAATATAGGGTCAATTCATTTTACAGTGTACTCTGTGGAGCACTTTAAGATGTCTCGAAGACGCGATAAGGCACTATATCAAATTCAAGGATTATTATTATCTCAGTGACATGATAAGCCACTATATCAAATGCAAGGATTATCACATACCAGTTCTACTATTGTCCAGTTTGTTTTCAGAAGTTTCTCCAATGATAATGCATGTCCCTTGTTTCCTTTGCAATGTCAAACATTTTACTGTTTTTTCTAAGCTAGATTGTATTCACTGTGATGGAGGCACACTCACCAACATATGGATCAAACACTCAATGGGAGTAAAACAATTCAGGAGGCATTTGTTTGATCATCAGCACAGTGAGACAGGCCAACATAATCAATCCAATCAGTATCTTTCAGAATCTCAGTTATTCAAGTTACAAATATATACTGCACAAATGAATGTTGCATATTTCTGTTTCTGATATTTTCACAAATCAGTGTATAAATTAATTTTTGATGAGGTTGAAACAAATGCATTCAGAATAATAAAAATGTCAAATAAGAGCAACAACACAATTAGCATGAACTGGAGATGAAACCAACACAGGTCATCAGTAAAAGCGTGATCTCCACTTTCTTCTCGGGGTTGAAATCAATTCAATTACTAGCAGCAATAGGGAAATATAGATTAACAGTTAAAGAAAGCAGAAATACCAGATTAATTCCTATGAACAACTTTAGTCAGGGAAATGAATCAATATGTTCCAATAGTCATTAATGAAAAGATGTGACAATGTAAGGGTTATTAAAGTTATATGTTTAACACATTCTTAAATGCTGCAGAATTTTGTAGGCAAATGCAATAATTTGCTCAGTAAGATCCCATAAACAGCCAAGATGTAAATGACAATTCAGCTGGAGATCCATTCTAGATTGGGATCGGAATTCAGTCATCCGACCCAAATGTGAGAGTGCCGTCAACTGAGCTAGGTTCAAGATGATCAATAATGTGTTCAATAATGGACAATTCTGTAGTTTTCAATGCCAGTAGATTCCCTAATAATTGACACAAATACCTTTCACATCAGATAAGTTGTATGTCTTAGCAACGAGCCTGTCAGAAAGCAAAATCACAGCAATGAGCAATGATCGTGTCACTCACAGCGACAAGAGAAGCCAAACACCTCCCAGCAGTGATTACTGGCACACCAACTTCAAGGAAGTGGACCCTGTGAGTAAATGTTTACATAAAAATAATGGATTGATTGTGATCATAAAGCAAAGGTTGCTTCCTCCAGGTTTCACATTAATATTACATAGAATGATAATAAGTTAGAATGTATTGGTTCAATCAGTAATTTTCCCCAAATCCGAATATTGCAGTACCATTTTACCCTGCTTTTCGTTTGTCTTCCAATGGCTTTAATTATACTAGGCCAGACTAATACTTTTTCAAATATGACATTTTTTTTAATGTTTAAGCTCCAGCACCATTACAAATACACAGCCAATTCACTTTACGGTATATTCTGTGAAGCGCTTTGAGTCGTTGCGAAGGACGTGATAAGGCGCTACATCAGTTTCAAGGATTTATTGTTGTTATCGGCAACAATTGAACAGACAAAAGAGAACGTCCTGCAAACTGCTCTCGGTAACTAAGTATATCACTGGCAGAGAGGGCAGTGAGCAGGATTATTCATGTGTTTGAATACGCATGCATGGAGCTCTGCCTTCTGGTGCACCAGAACAATGCAGAGAGCATTCTAATTATGACTACCCACAAGGGTTGGAATATAGACATAGTGCAATGTAAGTGTACAAGTTAGACGAACAGCAATAACCATTGTAATTATTTATTTTTTCGCTTGCTGGTTATCAGCAAACCTTCAAACAATTACTGTTTGATGAATTTCTTTCTGTGTGTAGTAACTAAACTGCATTGATTTTTTTTTTCCTTCCACTACCGAACGGTATTAATAATCATGCAGTTATGCCAGTGCTGAATTGCAGTTCCCAATCGCTATCAAATCTTATTGAATTCTCAAAGAAAAGATATATTGAGAGATTCAGGAAACGTAATGCTGAAACCTTTTACATTCTTATCACGAAATTCCTCCCTCATTACAGCCATCCAATTCCACACAACCTCTTTCAGCTGGGAGGTCTCAGTCACTATCTTGTTCACAACCTTTGACACAGGTCCACATTTGGCCCATAAGAGAAGTCGTTGTGAGTCAAGACAGATGAAGTGTCTTTATTTTACTCCCTATAGGCTCATGTCAAGGCTTCATGTCTATGAGGTACCTCAACTGATAGCCCAACAGGAATCAGATGAAACTCATCAAATATCTGGCTGGAAAATGTAACTGTCACTCAATCCCTGGGCACAAATCCACAATGACATTCACATGAATTGAATGTTTCAGAAAATAAGTGAAACCAAATCAGAATTGTGGATGTGTTTGAAGGTGTTATTACTATAACTCAATTTGCCTTTGCGACCAATAGGGAAATTCCTCTATAGTCAAAAGGAAGTGTAGGCAACTTGTATTCTAACTATTCTGCTTGTGCACAGCAGCCTGATCCAGACCTGCACTGGGTGCTAGTTTGGAGCTTGGTTACACAGGATTTTCTGCACTGATTTCCTGTCACAAAGGGTTTAGAGGTTTGAGAAACATCTTGGAATACTGTGAGAACATGATTGAGATGAGATGTCAAACTGAGTGCAAAATTGACAAGAATCAAGTGTTTACAATTTATAGTCATTTTTCCCTCTTGTCACAGAAGCACAATTAAACTCCGGCAAAGTGCTAACTTGGTTTGGATTTATATAAAAAAAACTTTCACAAGCACAAAAATCTCAGCAAGGATTTTCTGCTCCCACGTATAACAAGTTTGCAAAGATTTTATTGAATTACTATAATAGGGAGTGATTAATATCTATCCAATGAAATACAAATCAGACTTTGACTAAAAGCATCTGGAATAAACATTTATCAACAAAGCTGTTTATCAATATGTTAATTAACCCTTAACGGGCTGTGGATAAGATTACTTATCAGAGTGTACTATTACTCTCTCGCCCAAACTTCCATGGTACAACCATCTTGATCATTAGATTTTGCTAGCTGAAATCTAGTCAAAAGGGAGTATCCAGACAGTTCTTTAAAACTTGCTCCATCTCCAAAACAGATGGACAAAACCAGGAAGCAGATCATAAATAAGTAATAAGAGAAGCAATAATGTAAAGGTACAGTAGGAAACTTCTTTACGCTGCATGTCATTATAGGTAATAGAAATGCAACTTCCAGAGTTGAACAGCACTTGTACTTCACGGAATTATAAGTCACTATAGTGTCCTTTAGGTATTGAAATATGTTCTACATTCAGTGAAAACACTAAGAATGTTATTAAAGATGTGTAAAGGCTGCTGGACTAAACAATGCTGATGATGGCCAACGGACTGTGTTAGTATTGACTTGTAGTGGATTTTCATCATCTGTTTTATCTCATTTTATTGCCAAGATTCACAGTTTTGCTTGTATCTATCCTTTCTGATATGTTTGCTGCGAGTATGGATTTTACCCAATAAAATCCAAAGCTGCCTTATTTCTCATAAGAGCAAACTGTTTCTCTGACAAAGTAAGCATTTCCTTTAAATCTAATGAATGGATGTGATAAGGAGCTAAGGTTGGTCTCTCAGTGAGCTGACTAACTCACTATCTCATAGATTTTACCAGACTTCTGATTATTCTACTGTCATTTCTAAGTATTCCCATTTAAAATCTGTGGCTTAGAACCAATGTATTGCAGCAGTAATGGGAGGAACAGATTATATGACATTTCCAGAAAACGAATCCCTGATATTAAAATGCCCCCTCATGCCTTGGAGGAAATGATGGTAACTCGAACCGAACTGAACTGCACTTACTAAATATTTAACATAGATAGATTTTGGGAAGAAGTAATTGCATCTGCAAAAACTATTCTTTTTTTAAAAAAATATTTCCACTGAAAGATTATCCACTAAAGATTATCTGTTGGAACTAATGGCACAATTCCTTGTTAATTTTTATTCACGTTTTAGCTGGTTTGTGAAATCAAGCAAGCAATCTGTTGGTACTTATGGGTGAAACACATATGAAACACACTTAAGAGAAGGTATTTCCTCCAATTGTATAGTTAAATTTCTGCTGCCACGCATCACCTTCATCTGACTTAATCACCAGCAGTTTAGATTCACAAACTAATGTCTTTCAATCATAATGCAGAAAATGTTTAGCAGGACAATTTATTTTTCTGAATCATTTTTTGCTACAATAATGCCACAACTGCAAAAAGTATATTTTGTACTTTGTCCTGCAAATGGTTTCAGTGTGTCTTTGTAATGAACAGGGACTCTAGTGGTTATATTCATTTTTGAACTTTTGGAAAACATCTGAGCTCCAATCTGAATTCAACTAATATTGATTTCAATTAAATATAATTTAATTGTGAAATGTACTCTGAACTGCAAAGGATTTGCATTGGGCAGAGTGCTAAGCTTTCTAATTGATTTATGTGTGCTAATCTTTATTTCCGTATGCCAGCAGGTGGTAATGAGTGTTGTCTCAGATGTTCTGTCAGAGGTAGTCTGTTAGAGATGAATTGACCACAAGTTGCATGAATTAAATAATGTCATATCATGCAACATTTAGGATGCAATCTCAAAAGCACATTTAGCAATAATTAAAGCACAAAATACTGCAGATGCTGGAAATCTGAAGCAGAAAAACAGAAGTCACTGGAACATTCAGCATTTATGGAGAAAGGAAAGTAAGTCAACGTTTCAGGTCCACGACCTTCGTCAGAGATGGCAATGGTAAAAATGGCCTCAGTGCTCAGTTCAGAGAGGGTTTGTGCTGCTCATGGCTGTTCAATAAAGCTGGAATTACATTCTCTTGGCTTGATACTCCCAAAGCTGAATTGTCTGCTGCCACTCCATGTCAAAGCTAATGCATGAAATGATAGGCAATTGAACGAGATACCAGAAGCCGATTGTCTCCCGTGGTACCAATACCCAGCAGAAAGGAAAATGTTGAACACCTTCAAGACAGAGAAAATCAAAAAAAATACACAAAAAATTAACAATGATGAATAATAAATAAGTTCCAACCAACAGAAGCAGTGTTGCCTTTCTGTCAAGAACCAGTTAAACGGAGACTGAATTAACCACAATTTAATAACTCATAGAATAGAAATATCAGCAACAACTTGCATTGATACAGTGTCATTCATGCAAATGAATGTCTCAAACCACTTGACAAACAGAGTGGAAGGCACCCGAAGAGGGAAATAAGAGATGGGAAAATACCAGATCCACAGAAACTCAATGGACACCTTAATGAAGAGCAAAGTCTAGCTGCAGTGCAACCCAATTGAAATAATAGATCAGTCAATATGATTTGCTGTATGAACAAAAAAAGTACCAAAAAAGGACATTGTTAACAATTCCATCAAAGTTTAAACTGCAAACATCTCAAACTTAACGTGGATCTATGAAAACCCCAGCTCCAATCATATTAGCTTGCTTGCACACAACAATGCTCCACAAACAGCCACGAGCAATTTTATTTGGGAGATTGTTACCTATAACATTGGGAGAATCTCCCTTCTCTTTTTGAATAGTGCCACTGGAACTTTTAACATCCAATTGAACAGGCATCTACAATACTATCTACAAAAGCACTGAGATAGTTAATTGAATTGCAATTTTAATTGGAAACAATACTGCATAATACCTCACTGGACCACGGACACCAATTTATTCATATCGAACTGCAGAGATGGAAGACATTTACCAATGAATTCAAGTAAATTGAATCAATAGCAATAAGAACTTTACAAGAAAAATTAGAGTTGCTTTGTTAGAAATTGCTGGTAAGAGAAAAGAAATTCAGGCATGAAGCCTGTGGGCAGTGCAACTGTATCAAACAGTGGCGTGAAGATATGGGCACTTTAACAGCATCACAACTTTAAACCAGATTGTATGGCAGTATGTATCCAAACCCTAGTGTGAACATTATGGCAGGCTTTATTGGTGCTGCCAGTTTGGAAATCTAAATTAGCTCAGTGCTTACAAGCAAGAATTTCTGTTCTCCCTAAGTGGAATTTCTGATGACAATGCACCTTTAAATTGAATCATTAGCAAAAACTCGAGGACAGCAAGATTGTGAGCAAAGGGAAGACAGGGCAATCTGAAACAAATCAATTTTCTGGCAAATATAATAACTATCTCTCCTGTAAATATACAAAAAGGGGACAAAAAGAATATGCTGACCCAGTGGAAATGTTAAAATGAAATTGAAACCACTTCAAAATAACTTGAAGCAAAAAAAAACAATGTGACCAAATGAAAGTGATTTGAATGACTAGAAATGTACAGAGGCTACACACTGAACCAAATCTAATCACTATCCAATTACACACAGGATAATTTTAGTCAACAGAACTTCCCGAGCTTCTGTGCTGCTCAGCATTCTAAACCCTCAGGTGCGAATCACATAACCACTACTCCACAATGATTACATGATTAATGTATATGATGGTGTGAACACAATCCTTTTAAAATAATGAGGCACAAACATGTTGTTACTAAAACTACTAAATTTTTTTTACACTGAACAATCCAGTCCTCTCAATGCACAATTAGCTGCCGCTGACTGTTCAGAGCCTTGGGACGTCCAGCTTGGGGAGGGATGGTGGGTGGGAGCCAAAGAGTTTGGGGAGGTGAAAGATGACTGAAATCCCGGTCAAAGTGCTCAGACTGAGGCAGACTTTGAACATGAGGAGGGGAACAAGTGAATAAGAGGGAAGGCGTTCCAGAGAGTGGATTTGATCTTCCTTTCCATGTGTGCGCTATACATCGGATTTAGCCAGTTGACCAAGATCAAGCAGCTTTGGATGAAACAGACCCTTAAGCCATTTAAATGCTTAAATTACTTGCAGAATATCAGTCCTATTGTCTTTACATTGTGTCAGTTTTTTAAATGCGTTCAATGTCCTGGCCTTAACCACCTTTCTGGCTGTTGATTTGGCTATGTGTAGATGAATAATTCTTGATGCCTTTCTTAACCTGGACTTGTATTTTCATGTCTGCCGACCTTAGCAAGTAGTTACATGGTGAGAAACTGAAAATAATAACTTCCACGTTTAATACCTTTCACATAAAATAACAATTTCCATTGATGCAGCACTCAATACATATAAAAAGACAAAGAAAAAAAGCAGTTATATGAAATCATGTTTTTTCTATTGGAAAAAAGTAATGCGCAAATAACAGATCAGTTTCGAAAATGTCAAAAAACCTTTTTCTCAGGGAAA